GCGACATCCAAGAAATCACGCAAGAACAAGTTTTGAAAATGGAAAACAAATGCAATGGTTCAAATAAAAAATGTACAATTAAAGTAAACACTTACCACTAAACTACAGTGATAACATAATCACGAAACAAAAGCTAAGTACAAAAGTCATGCCAAACTTTCTAAAATAACACAATTTCACTCATGAACCACACCTAGCAAAAACAATCATCGATAGATGAAAAACTCACAAGATGAGAGATTTTTCACTCACACGACAATCTTGCAAACAAAAGACTAAATTATGCAATCATCTAAAAACTCATATTAACAACATAAAAGCAAGAATCACAGGGACTTTTCAAGGTTATAATGTGGTCGGGTAAACAAACAAGGGGCGATTTCAAAAGCTAATCGAAACAAAAATTTGCCTAAACCTAAGGGAGTGGTCAACTCACAAAGTTTTAAGCACAAAATTCCAATAAAGTTTTTCCACATTCCCAAATTGTCAAACCAAAACACCATACTTATTTTCACAATTATTTGAACTCTTTTTGTTTTCTTTTTCAAGGATTTTTCATTTTTTTCTTTCTTTTTCACTTTTTTCTTTTCTTTACTTTTTCACGTTTTTATTTTCTTTTCTTTTTTCAACTTCATAGCAATCAACCAATAAGTGAATAATCATCCTCTTCCCAACTTGAATTCAACCACATCATCATATGAATACTCCTTACTTTCTAAGGCAAGGTAAAAATTCATACAACAACACAAAGTTAAGGGTTCAAGAAAAAACAACAATCAAAATCTATACAAAAAGTGAAGTTGATACTTATAGACAAGCATCAAGTTTAAACAACATGGATAATGACCAAAGGCTTAAAGGGGTCACAAATGATCATACACTCACAAGGTGAATTGACTATTTGGCTAGGTAGTGTTGCTCAAAATGAAACAAAAATGTCTCGATTCTTTTCATGCTTTCATATAATCAACACAAACAAAAGATTAAACATAATAAAATCTAGTTAGAACAAGAATATTGGTACTCCGACAACCATCTTTGAACATTCAACCAGAACAAATGAAAAACAATAAATGATCACATCATATCATTTATCATTATAATGCATGTATTAAGCATTCATATATGCAAGTAGCATAAAAGCGATTATATCATAATATCATGCATTTCACAAAACATTCTAAAAGTCACAAAAGAACATGAGGCGCCTAGTTCCCACTATGGAACAAAACTGCACTCAGGGGAAGAAAGATGTAAAATTTTGTCCAAGAGAGCACGCTAAGCGTGGTTGTAGCGCGCTTAGAGAAAATGCATCAGGATTTTCCCAGGCAGGCGCGCTAAGCGAGCGGGAGCTTGCTAAACGACCTCTACTGCACACAGAAAAACCGGAACAGAAGCCGCACGAAATTAGGGTTCTAAATCTTCATTTTAGCATCCTAATTCATGTAATCACAATACTAAAACACATATTATACCACAATACACCCTTTTCATTTTCTAATTCGTACATGCAACAAGGATTTCTTACTTTTAAACTTTTATCCCCAAATCCATGTTATCCCACAAAACCCCAAGTCTCTAACTAGAGACTCACCTTGAATTAGGGAAGAAGAAGCTGCGAAAATAGGAAGAAGATGATGAAGAAGATGAGCTAGCTTGAGTTACATGCAAGATGAGAAGCTTGAACGAAAAATGGGAATTTCTCCTTCTTTCCCCCTTTCACGTTCTCTTTCTCTTCCTCTCTACAAAATCTGATTTTATTTTCAAAGTGAGAATGAAACAATTGTCATTAAATGGATGAAGAGATCAAAATACCCTTTACTACTCATTTAGCTATTTATTTATAATAACACTAAATGATAGATTACATGATATTGATGTCTTCCTTCTTTCTTCAACCCTAATTTTCTCTTGTTCATCATCCTCTAAAGAGGGGTGGTTTTAGGGTCAATTTTTTATCCAAAATTACCCCTCTGAATTCTTTTTCCTTTCCTTTTCATTTAAATAAGTGATTTCACATATATTTTTAGTTTTTTCCTTTGTGATTTCGTCGTCTTAGTGCGACGTTGTGTTGATCGTCATCTTATTGCAATGTTATTTGGTTTTTCTGTTTTTGGTGCGGTGTTTGTTCGATCCAGATTGACAAATTAGTTTCGACTCATTGCATATTCAACCAATGAGTTTGACGTCCTCAACGCCGCAGACTCAAAGACATGAGTATTCCGAGCATTTTAATTTCGTCATATTTGTAGGCTTTGTCACATTTGTAGATATTTTATCGTTATATGCAATTTTGTGAGTTTGTTCGCAGATTCATCTTTTTCAATTTATAGTGATTTTGAATTTATATTGTTCGATGTATTATATCAATTTAAATTAATGAATATCAGTTTTAATATTAAAAAAATATTAAATAATAAATTTAGTATAATTGTCCTCTATTAAATTTCACCTAAATAATTAGTACTAATCATTAGATCTTAATTATACCGGTTATTACATCATGAATTGTTATAAATTTGTCATAAGAGAGAAACAACTTGCTAATAAATAATTGAAAATATTAGAGAGAGAAAAAGAAGAAGATAAATCAATATATTAAAAATGAAAAAAAAATCATGTTAACTAGTCATAAAGATATAAGTTAAAAACTTTAATCACTAGATTTGTGTTGAAAAAAATAGAATTTAAGTTTTTAATAAAATAAATGCATAATTTAATTTATTTTTTTCACAGTTCGTATGTTAACATGTGTGTAAGTTAGCATTTTCTAAAAAGGGTATCACAGTAATTGTCTTATAATGTGCATAAAATCTCAATGACAATGAGAAAAAGGAAATATAGTTATAGCGTAAAATAATTTTATATTGTCAACTAATCATAATTATGTTATGTAAAATTATATTATTATTTTAAAATAAATTATATAATATAATTAAATGATAAATTTTTATTAAATAATAATATAAAATTATTATATACTTTCAATATACTGTCTTTTAATTAATAATAATTAAAAATTTGTATTAACTTATTTATTTTTTTAATGATCACATTTACATACGTATTTTCTTTCAATTTACTTTTTATTTTGAAATTTAATTACTTTTTATTTTGAAATTCTAAAACAATTTATTTTAAGCAAAATATTTTAATTGACATTGAAGAGAAAGAAATAAATATAATCAATTATGAATAATTAAGAGTCTCTTTTTGTTGGTCCATCCACAAACGCCTTTGAAACTCACAACGCCATTGAAAATGATTTTAAATCTTGACATTAATATAAGCAAAATTTTAAAACTCTTGAACTATTTAATGTTAATCATTTTAATATATCTTCATTTAAATTTAAAAATATTTAACACCCTTGGAGATCTATTAAATATCAACAAACTATTTTAATAAATTTAATTTGTATTTTACACAAAACTTTAAAAATTAAATTAAATTATAAATTTAGTCTCTTTATTTTACTTGACTCACAATAATAATATTTTTATTTATATTAATACATAAATAAAAATACATATTTATCATATATTAACCTCCGAATTAATATATTAAACTCAATTAATTCAACTAACTCAACTAACATATCTTTTTAATACAAAAAAAAAAAGCAAAAATTATAATCAAATTTAAAAAATCAATTGAGTTTAATATTTTTTTCTTTTGCACTCTAGTTCTCAAAGAAATGAGTCATTAGTAATTCAGAACTCGTATTGAGAAATTAAAAATTATGACACTCATTAAATATTCTCACTAAAAATTAAACTCAATATTTTTCAAACCTTCATTTCTTAGAAGAACCGCGTTTACAACTCGAGTTCAAGTGTTTAGTTAAATTTAACATATTTTTTATTTAATATAAAAATTATTATCTATTTACAATTAAAATATAACAAAATATTAATATTTTTTAATAAAAAATAATTCAAAAAAAAATGAAGCAGGAAAAAGCAGAAACCAAGAAAACCAGCTAGTTTCAGTAAAGATGATAATGTATGTCATTAATTGATACGTAAAAGCACCTGTGCATGTTACCCAGGTGGAACACGAAACGAGCCTGGGAAACAACATATAGCCTCCCATTTCAACCAACTATATAAATCAATATATCAACCTCTTCCGCTACTCTCCGCACAGAGAAACAAGAAAGTCATTCACGTGTCTCCACCATTACAAATTCTCAATCACCATGTGCTCTCTTACCATCACCTGATGTGGCAATCCTACATGCAAAAATACTCAATACTTTCTCCATAAAAAATATATATCATCATCATTCAAAACTATATACTATATAATCATTTTACCATAGTGTATAGTGATTTAATTTAAGATGAAAAAATGATACTAGTGTATATATATTTACCATACTCATTGGTGTGGTGCTGGAAGTTTCAGAACTTTTGCAACACCTGGATATAAAACCAAAGCAACATGTATCGTCTTTGTTCAATATCCATCCGTCATTCATTGCTTGGTCATTCCTTAACCACCACCATCACCACCGCACTAACCCCTATGCAAAACCCAACTCGTTTCATCTTAACTCTGGTTTACGAATTCACCATTCACATTCAGCCACACCAACTACACCCACGTTATCATTCAAACAAACAGCCAAAACATAATTAATCACCCAATGAATCCGGTCACAACATTTGTACATATTCATAACTTTTCTTTTTTTCCTTCAACAAACCCATTTACAGTGAAAAATCTGTCAAAGGGGAAAAAAATGAAGTAGTAAAAAAAAGAAGGAGAGGATGAATATGAGGTGAATATAGACTATAGTCATCACAAATGTCGTAAAAACCACTCTTTATTTTCTGTATTTCACAAAAAACCTTGTTGTTTTTGCTAAAAATAGAACAAAAAAAACCTATCATAAAACCTATCCATTATTACTACTCTCTCCATTACATACTTTCACCTCCACTCAACTCTCTCCACAACCAAAACCAACACCAAACCCGAAACCCCAAGCAGCAATGATGATGAACGAGGTTGAAGGCAAGAAAGTTGTGGTTCAGAATACCAAGGCGTGTGCTTTCATGGCAAGTGTTGAGCCTCGTCAAGTTGAGTATGTGAACGTAACCAAAAACACTGTCAACGGATCCGGTCTTCATCATCGGATCTATGGTGATACCTTTGTTACTGCTGCATTTGGAACTGTTCACAGGAGGAAGCGGATGGCTAGACAGAGAAGATCCTCATCTTCTTCTTCTTCCATCACCAGAACTCATCCATCAAACCCTCCTCCTCCTCCTCCTACTGCTTCTTCAACTACCATCTCCAAAGTGCCACTTCCTCCAATTCCTCCTCTTTTTACTAAACCACCTTCCAAACAAGTTGTGAGTGTTTTTTTTCTCTTTCTTTTTTCTTTATATTCAAATTTTTCATAGATGAATTTTTTAGTATTATAAACTTTGTTTCAATCAATAAATTTTTTTTTAAAAATAAAATAATATAAAAATATATATAATATTTTCAGATCCAACAAACCCTAGATCTATTTTAGATCTGTTTCTTTTACTACAACTCACTTTGTTTTCTTTATATCATATATGTTTAATTTGATCTATTGCAGATCTGTGTTTTTTAATTATAAGTTACTTTTTAAATGAACAGAAAATGAATAGTATAGTAGATTGTTTTCTTTAAATCATATCTTTTACTTGATCTATTTTAGATCTGAATTTTTAGTTATGAATCACTTTAGATCTGTGTTTTAGATCTTGCTAGGTTTTAAAAAAAAAACAATTTTGAAAGATTTTATCTTTAGAGAAAATTTTGGTTAAAAGATACTGTATTTAATATTGATAATAATAATATTAAATGAAAGCAAGTGAATATATTTGTTATTAGTAGTCAAATGTGTGGTAAACGAAGTCGTTAAACACAAGTCAGAATATTTTGATTTTGAAGCTTGTTTATGTCTATGTCTTGTACAAGAATTAGTAATTTAGTATTGTGTCAGAATGTTGTGTATCCAAGTAGTAACATGTATGTATAAAAATGGAAAAAAGATGAGGCTTTTTAACTCATTGTTATAGAAGAGGCAGAATCTATGTCGGTACGGAAGTTGTCTCGTGGATCTCAGGGTAATGACCAAAAGAATGTTTATTCATGTAATGTTATGTGGTAATAGTACTTTTATATTATTGTCGCTTGTTTGAACTTTTCATCTTAAGTTAATCATATTAATTAATACTAATATTCATGTTTGTTTGAGCTATATATGCATCTTAAGTTTTTAATGTTAGTTAATACTAATATATTCATGCAGGTTTGAACTACGGATCCTAAGTTATTAATGTTAATTAATACTAGTATTTATGTTTGTTTGAACTGTCCATATTTAGTTAATAATTTATATTTGTTTTGTTTGTTTTATATAACATGTATATATAGTTACCATCTTTGAATTATAAAAGTTGAGTCAACAATGACTTTAAAATGTGATCTTTATTATAACTATATATGATGTTTGGTATAGATTGAAAATTGTGATGTTGAATTTTGAGTTTGAAAAAAAGCATGACGTGAGTATTTTGATCTCTAAACTAAGTTAATATTGACTTGACTAAGTGATGAAATAAACTATTGACTATAGATTGTCATTATCTTAGTCAATGTCTCTTCCTTGGAAGCTGGAAACTGCAACTTTTGTTGCCCTAAATTCTTGCTGGTAAGCTTAAACAAAAAGATGAAGAAAATTATGATTATTAGACAATGCTTTGGATACCAAAATGTGCATCCTTTCATTGTTACTCTTGACATGATTTTTTTTATGTTAAACATTTAGACATAGGTTATACTAATTTGTTTTGAGCATTTACTATTTTTGTTCAATGTTGTTTTATGCCATATATTCATTACTAACACCACAAATGGCTTTGCAATATTTATTCACATTTTAGGCGATTGATCCAAAGAGGTTGAGCTTCCTTTTCCAAAAAGAGCTGAAGAACAGTGATGTTAGCTCCCTTAGGAGAATGGTCTTGCCAAAGGTTTGATCTTTGTTTAACAACTTATGTTCTCTAGATGAACTATATTATTTACCAATTTGTAACAATAATATTTAATTTTGTAACTCGCAGAAAGCAGCTGAGGCTTTCCTTCCTGCCCTTGACTCAAAGGAAGGAATTCTGATCAACATGGATGATATCGATGGTATTCATGTATGGTGCTTCAAGTACAGGTACGTTACATGTATATAATATAATGTTAGTTAAATATCATGATCACAATAAAATCAAATTAAATGCAACAGCATTATGAACTAGATTTATAGATAATTAACTTTCTATTTGAATAATGCAGGTACTGGCCAAACAACAATAGTAGGATGTATGTTCTTGAAAACACTGGTATGTTAAATTAACTTCTTCTCTAAATATTTTTTAGAGTTAAACTTTACTTTAAAAAAAAATAAATTTGTTAAATATTTGCAGGAGACTTTGTTAATGCGCATTGTTTACGCAATGGAGATACCATTGTGGTTTACCAGGATAATGAGAGTCACAACTATGTATGTGATACGCAACAAAACTAATTATATAGACCAATTTGTTTTTCGATTGTAAAATTCCATCAAGTTTTTTCTAACCATGTATGTGTTTTTTTGTCCTATGCATTATTTAATATAGGTAATTGAGGCGAAAAAGGCTCTTGGCCGTGATGGAGATAAGTTTATGGAAGGTACTGATACAACCAACAATAGTATCTTTCCTAATGATTTCGAGTTGAACACGAATTTCTTCGATATAACCTACCCAGAAGTGACTCATCCCTTTCCTGAATTTAATGATACCTTGAATGATGTCATGAATGACAATGGAATGTCGTTTATATATGACACAACAATCTCAAATGACTCACCATTTGATTTTATGAGTGGATCGATGACAAATTACTCGAAGATGGGATCTTTTGAAACCTTTGGCTCAGTTGAGAACCTCTCACTTGATGACTTCTACTGAGGTCATTACTACATATGAAGGTAGCTAACAAAGTACCAAGACTCTAAGGTGTTGTTTTGTCTATTTTGGTACAATAAATAAATATGCAAGTGTGTGTTTTGGATCTTTTTGTTGTTTTCATGATAATATCAATGAGAGGATTTGTGTGTAGAATAAAAGAGTAGTCATGGACATGTTTTTGTTTTCCTCTCGGTTGAACAAGGTTGAGACTACTCTATTATGTAATATTTATAATTTTTGCTGGATAATATCTATATCATTTTGAATGTTTCATCATAGATTGTTTACTTAATCGTATGCAATGTTAGCAAATCTTGTAGATAGGAAGAAAATTACTAGTCCAGAGTGAGAATTAGCCAGAGTACTCCTTTCTAAACTAATTTTGAGGATCTATATATTAGAATTCTATAAAGAAAAAAAATGCAACTCCACATACTATATAGCATATAAATGCGAGATGTCTTCAAATAATCTAGTATTTTTTTTCAATTACTATTATGAGAAAAAAAAATTTAATTTAGAGAAAATAGTAAAAATAATTAATTTTTAGATTTCATATAAATATAGTAAAATTTATGAAACTGTCTGTAAATGTTTAGTCAACTAACTATCTTCATTGAATGTTTCTACATTAAATGAAGTGTATATTTATAATAACAATATTAAATAGTTAAAAAATTGTCATTCTTGATAATAATAGCAATCCAAATTTTAGGCTATCTTTCTCTATCTAATGACAAAAGAGAGTAACTACTACCTCTCCCTCTCATAAAAATAAAAAGTGTCTGATTTATATTTTTCTATTTTTTAAAATAAATGTGTCTTTATATTACCATACACTTATTTATTTTTTTATTATTATATTTTTATTTATTAATTTTCATACTTTTCAATTATTTTACTATTATAATAAGTAAAGATATTTTAATAAATAATATTAATTTTATCATTAAAATTAACATATTTAATTATTTTTTAATAATAACCATATAAAAATTGAAATAAAATACTTATTATAATACGAAATGATTATTATTTATAGGTTTAAACTATCAAGTAAAACTACTTTACCATTGTTTTACACATCGTTTATATTTTAATATTATATCTAAAACCAAATTGAGCTTCCTACTTAATGTTAAGAAGAGTAGTCATAAAACTAAAACTCTAAATGTACTTTCACATTCATGCGTGATGATATGTATTGGAACCAAAGATCTAATCTTTCCATACAACACAAACTCAAATCATTTCAAATCCCTTCAATAAGATGGTGTGGTGATTGCTAATAGCCACCTAGAGTTTAATTTTATTGGAGAGATTTTGAGTAGGATGTAGGTGTATATATGTATTTGTAAAAAGTGAGTATTTTAAATTTATTTAAATTATTATTTAAATCTATTTGAGAGAGCCTTTACAAAAAATCTATTTGAGAGACCCTTCTAAAAAAATCTATTTGAGAGTTAGATTTTACTTTTTAAAAAAGATTTTACTTTTTAAAAAAAAAATTTGTTTGTTCATGAAACTTTGTTCCCTCACGATTTAGAGATTCCCTTTATAATTCATGTGATTTGCAATAAAATTAATTAGCTAGAACAATTTATTTTTCAATTTTAAATTACATTGCTATTTTGTGGTCATTCATTTCCTTTTTGTCCTATATAAGTGGAAGACTGAACATGTTCTCAATCTTAAAAGAAGGTTGGGACTACTCTAAGTTGGGACTACTCTAGGATGCTTTTTTTTAAATAAAAAGAAAATTGAATGGATAATGTCTATCTAAATTATTTTAAATATTTTTTATAAATTATTTAATTAATACTATATACCAAGTATAAATCATGTAAATAGGATGAACAATTTTGTGCAGTGTAAAAAACAAGAGTGTTATTGTTAAACCAACTCTCACATTGTTTAGCATAGAATTCTAATATAAAAATCAAGTTTCTAAAAGTAATAAATGATAAAAGTGATAAAGGAAATATCTCTTATTTAAAAGGTATTTTAAATTTTTTTGATAATATATTATATGTATAAATATTTAGATGAACATTAAATTATTTTTAATAGTCTATTAATTTAATTTTATACACAAAAAATTATATTAAAGCAAGCATCAAAAAATACTCAATACAAAAGAGGAGCCGAACTATCAAAACAACAAAAGGATTGGATAATCAATTATCTTTAGAAAAAGATCTAATACTAATTCAACTTTGATAAAAAGACAATCTCCCTCCTTTTAACTCATCATTAAACAAAATATTTCTAATTAATCAGATATATTATTTAAGTAAGAAAAAGTGAAAACAAAAAAGATAGAATAAATTTTAATTATTCTTTATCATAATTATTCTATAATTTCTATTAAAAAAGAAATTAATTTATAATAAATTAAAAATTATTTACTAAATTAATAATATATTACTAGATAATATTTTCCTACTAAATAATATTACTTTTTTATTTAATAGTTTGTTAATGTTTGGAAGACAACCATTTCTAGTACACTACACTTTTGTAAAAGAAACTTTTTTTAAGAATTTTTTTTTAATAACGATTTAAATTTTTTTTAAATAATTATTTTTAAAAAAAATTATTAAAGTGATTATTTTTTAAATAAAAAAATGAGTCACTTTGTGTGACACATGCATGTAAAATAAAGAGGACGTGCTATATTGTATGGCTTGTGTTCCTATGTAATGTCATGCAGTGTGACACATGCATGTAAGTGTAAGTGGATGTGACACTTTAGATAGCTTGATAGTTGTGTTGTCTTTATGATTTTATTATTATTTTTTAAATAATAATAAATATAAATAAAAATATTTTATATTAATATTTAAAATACACAGTGCATACATACATATTTTTACGGATGTCCTCCTTGACCTAAGCGTTCATCTGTATGACAATAATGCCCTCGTCTTTGTCTTACCCCTCTGTTGAATTTTCTGAAGTGTTTGGGGTCTGTTCTGACTCGCTTGATGATGAGGTGATTGATATAAAGGTCCTGATACATTTGGATCATACACCTCATCTATCATTTCTTTCCACAGTGTTGTGTTATTAAAGAGATCGGTGTCCATGTTGTTGAATTTTGGTCTTGTTAGTGGGGATATGTGTGGGTGGGGTGGTTGATAGAATGATGTTGAATCGTTTTGAAAACGAAGCAACGGTTCTTGTGGTGTCTGAAATTCGTATGATGGTTAGGTGCTTCGATTGTGTGATGTATGACTATATGTAGGTTGGATGGTATGGTAGGAATGAGAGGTATCATACGTGTCTTCGGTGTTGTGGTAGGATGCAGAGGGTGTATATTGTTGGTGGTGGGTCGAGTCATTCTCTTGGTATTGTGTTTGTGTGGCATAAATTGATGACGGGTTTGAGTGGATGTCGTGGTATATGGTTGTTGGGTTTGAGTGGGTTGATATTGTTGTTGGGTTGGATATTGTTGAGGGGTTGATTGTTAGAGTTGTTGTTGGATATGATGCAGCTCTTTGACGTGAGTCAATCAAATATGTCTCTTGAGATAGAAACATATTTGTTAAAACTGATGTGTACTATCTCAAATGCTTGAACGTCTGTGTGTTCTAGAGTTTGATATTCATCAGAGGCTTCGTCAGCGAAAAATAACATGAGCGTCTCTTATGACCAGTGAAAACTTTGATAATAGAGTGGAAGATATTTTTTAAGAGTGATGTAAAAAGAGGTGTGAAAAATGGTGAAGATCGGTAGTTGTATTTATAGAAAATCAAATATAAATGTCAAGCCATCTAGGATGATGCTTCCTCCTTAAAAAGAATTTGTATGCATCATAGTGTATGACACTACATAAAAGGACAAACTATATAATGTGGCGTTTTCTTTTTATTTTACTTTACACGTATGTGCCACAAAGTGGTTCTTTCTCTGTGTGACAAAAAAATTATATTTAAAAAATGATTATTTTAATTTTTTTTGAAAAAATAATTATTTGAAAATTTTCTTCTAAAAAAAATAGCTATTTAAAAAAATTCTCTTTTTAATATATATGAAAAAAAAAGAAAAAGAAAAAAAAGACAGATAAAGATGAAACAAATAATTAATATACAAAAATATTTAAACAAAATGATAAATATATTTTCACTTTAATCAGAAGTTCGAAGTTACAATTCAACTTCGACTCAAATTTTTTTTATGATGTTCATTTTCAGTTTAAAAATATAATCTATAATTTATTCAAAAAATAAAATAGTAGTTTGAGAAAGAGTCGTAATACACAAAGTTCGAAGAAGAAGTATATTGTTTTAAAAAATATATTAGTTATGTCGTGTATGATTATTTTGGTGATTGAAATAAATGAGTCCAAAAATCATACATAATTTATGAAAATAAGAGAAAATCAATTGTGTGATTTATTTATTATTTAAAATTAATGTTTTATTTTAAAATTAATTATATATCATTGTGTTTTATATTTTTTAATCAATATTTATTAAGTATACTTTAACGATAATTAAAGTTATAGTATTCAATTAAAAATTGTTTAAAAATTAAATTAATGAGTATTGGTAAAAAAAATACAAATTTGTATGGTATTCTTGCAACAGTAAAGAATATTTAGATGACTTAATAGATTTATAACACTTAGGGTATTTAGGGTTTGTCTATGGCGAAGTGAGAGTATTATATAATGGTGATAGGGTGTTTATAGTGGTTTTAAAAGTCTAATTTATGTGAGGTAAGTGGCTATGTATATAACTGTTGTATTTAAATATGAATGATTTGTCTTTTTCCGGTTAGAGGAGAAGTAGAGTTGGTCCTAATATTTTAGAGGTCCATGATAAATAATAAAAATGAATATTTAATAAAAATATAATATTTTAAAAAAAAACATCATCTATTTAAATTGTAATTAATATCAACAACATTAAAATTAATCACTTATATGTGTAACCAATTTAAAAAAAGAATTATATTCTAATTAATATTAGGAGGAGTCTTAAATAATTTGGAGG